TTATGTATGTCCTTCTGTATAAAATTTGTTTGTTTTAATCGAATTTCTTCTTTTGTTTGATAAAGTTGTTTTTCATTAGGTCAGTAAGAAAATGTTTGTAGCCATGTGGGTCCGTGCCACCATAATTGGTTGTTTTTAAGTTGTGATATGTACTTGCAGCATCTGCGGAGTTTTCCTTCGACTTAACGTAACTCCAATTGTTGCAGCTATAATTGTAGTAATATATTTAACTCTGTTCGCAACAAAAGCTTTCCAACGACTTGGATCCCCATTAAGCCAACCTAAAACGACCATGGAGTCCGTCCATCCATATATCTCAATTTTATGTTGACACATACATTGTTTTATTTTATTTATCAATTTACATAATAAATGAGCAGCATTTAATTCTAACGTAGGCAATGATATCTCTTTTTTATTTGGTACGAGTCGTGTTTTGGCCGCTTAAAGTATTACTTCAGGTTGGTTTTTCGTCCTTGCGTAAACGACGCAGGCAAAGGCATGTTCTGATGCGTCACTAAAACCATGTAACTCGACAACTTCATTTTCCTTACAGCCTATCCATCGAGGGATCTCAAATTCTTGAATATCATTCATATCGCTCCCAATTTTCCGCCATTCTTGTTGTATGTTTTCTGCTCAGATCATATAAACAACAGGAGATATGCCCGGTAATTAAAATGTATCGGAACCTGTTGTCACATGAGTAAAGAAACCGACCAGAGGGGAAGCTACATACTAACGTCTCGCTTCGGGTACACCTACACATAGCGCAGAGATCGTGCGTGAGCTCTCACCGACAGGTTCACCGACGCTCCGTCGGGGTACAAACCGGTTTGCGCCGGCTCAGTCAGAGTGTGAATGAAAGGGCTGTTGGTCACGCGCATTGAAATAAATAGACGAATAATATTTCGTGATTTTATAGATCAATAAGTTTATTTTTTTTTTCAATTAGAGTTAAGTTTAGAGATTGTGTACTGTAAAATAAGACATTATAGATTTATAAGCATTGAGTTATACGTACTACGTACTAGAGAAGCCATTCCAAACAAAAATTGTGTCCTACTCTATGTCTTCGCGCATGCGCGGGAGTAGTAGTCGCGCATGCCAGAAGACTTTAATTTAATATAAAATAAGATATTAATATAAAATAAATATAAGAATTTAATATAAAATATCTTAATTTAAGCTAAACAAACATATTTTTAAATAAAATGTAATAATAATTATTTTATGGAATTCACAAATCTTCAATTTACGCAATATTTAGTTTGTATGGATTGCACTACAGTTCAGTTGAACATAGTCAATGTTCGGAATGGCTTCTCTAGTACGTAGTACATATAACTCAATGTTTATAAGTATATATTTATATTTGATAATTAGTGTTCGTATAAGCTAAATGTTTAAGTTGTATAGTATGTATGAAAAATTCGAGAGAAAATAATACAATAGACAGACAGTGGTGCAGTTAGTGTTAGTGGTAGTAGTGCTGGTGATGGTGATGGTGGACGGTGGTGCTGATCGTGCGGTGTTGGTAGCTGTGGACGGTGGTGCTGATCGTGCGGTGTTGGTAGCGGTGGATGGTGGTACTGTACGTGCTGATAATGGTGTCGGTGATTGTGGTGGTGCTGGATAGCTGGTAGTATCATTGGTGGTGGTGGTGGTGGACAGTGGACCGCCACTGGCACTACCACCACGACCAGCATCAGCACCACAGCCACTACTACCGCCACCATCATCCTGGTAGTAACATTGGTGGTGGTGGCGGTATATCAACACAGCCACTGCCCACTACCAACATCACAGTCATTACTAATACCATCTGATTTTTTGTACTCATGAATACATTGTCTTACGAAAATGATATTGATAGAAAATAGATATGTATATGTAATGTGAAGCTAAGCATGAAAATAACCAATATATACAATTTTTGCAGTTTCAATTTTAATTACAAATAACAGACATGTTAAACTTAAGTTACAATGAATTCACATGTTATTTTATACAATATAATATTTTTATTTTTTCCTTAAAATTTTCACTTGCATCAGGTGATAACCCTATCAGAATAGGTATATATTTTCGACGTTGTTAGAAAGCTTCCCCTCTGGTCTTGTTTACTCTGTGCTGTTGTCGCCAGTTTGTCCCCGCCACTCGCCAACTACTACACATGCAGTTCAGTAAAATGAATAGATACGCAGTAGCGCACACACACGCATTTAATAAATCAGAACGATCTACACAACCAATTATAAACCTTATCTCATCATACGCAGCGTGCATTTACCATGCACCGTACAAAACTTATTCACACAAAAACATATGTCGCTATCATTCTGCTGTGCAAAACAGTGCAAAACATTTATTTTACTTACACGCTAGTGATTGACTAAATCGGAAAGTTATCGATTCTTCTATTTATAATTGTACTAAAGGTTTTTTGGGGTCCTGAAAATAAAATAAATGAAAAACGATATGTCCAGAAAATATTATAATAAAAATAAACAATATGTAGTAAAAACAAAATATTAATAAGTAAATTATAATTAATATTGTTGAACCCGGTTCATTAATGTTTCATCAAAATACCACACAACTTTTTTTTATTGACCAGTAAAATATAAATATTTATTTAAAACTTGGCGCTTAGACAATTTAGGTGTTGCGTTCTTAGTTAAATAATGTAATCTTACGTTTATATATTTTTGCATAACGGCTTTTATAAGTAATATTAAATGGTTATTCATAGGCGACTGATTGTATTGGTGAAAATTTATTTTTTCAAAAAGATTCATACCTATAAAATGCAATAAGGATTTTGACATGAGCTCCTGTCTAATATTTTTTGTTGTAATTTTTGTGTTATCAGATGAAAGCATATAAGTTTTTATTATTACTTCCATCCGTTTACATATGATTATTACGTCATTGGATGGAAATATAAGACCGTCTTTATCCTTCAATTTTATAAAACTGAGGTTCTTGTCGTCGACTGTATCTGCAATCAAACCACTACAGCATGTTTCACACTTCAATAATTTTAGCAAGCGATGAACTATAAATCCTGCTATATATGACACTATCTGGCTACTAAATTCTGTGATGTCTTGTGCAAGTATACTTACTTCCTCATCAAATACGGCTTGTTCATACAGCAGTCATCTCGTCTTCATCATTACTTTCGTCTAACTTACATGGTTCGATTGTCATATTTATATTTTTAACAGCAGAGGAGCACACCAAAAAAGAAACCTCTTCAAGAGCTGTACAGTTTCCCTGATCTACATCTCTAAGCTCCGACTTTACCAAGAGTTTTTTATATATCGCTTGAAACTGTCGCGCCGTTGGGTTGGTGCTGCATCCACCGTGAGACCTTATATGTCCAAACATAAGCTCCAAATGATCTTGGCTGATCTTGTAAACTGGAACGTACTTAATTTTTTGGTCCTTTTCAACTAATTGTATATACAATGCCTTGAGGCTTTCTATGCACACTAAAAAGCCAATAAAACCGGTTTTTCTCGGTGTACTGATAGCCTTATTACCGTTTGGAAGCTTTAAAGAAGTTAGATACTGTTTCGCCTTTTCTAAAGTTTCAAATACCTTGTCTTTGTTGCCTGGGTAAATTGGTTTTTTATAATGGAGTTGGGCCATATGTCTTGAATTTAACACATCGAACAAATTATTGACAGTTTTTAAATATTCGACGGTGCCTTCTACATCATGAAAACCAGCCAATTGAAGTTCACAACAAAAATTCAGGGCATCTGCAACACTGTTGCTAAATAATTGCGACGCCAAGCGAACTTTCATTTTTGGTTCTTGAAATAGATGTGACTTTTTCGTACTTTGTTTGCTAAGTGCAGTTTTTCTTTATCCTGAATGTCATACAGGTTTTTCAAGTGTCTCCATTTTATGTCCCTATTTGAAGCATCCATAAAGTACCCATATGCTTCGAAAGCATTTCTCAACAACTTCAGCATGTGGCATGGATCGAGAAAAATATGTACAGGTTGACGAGTAACGGGGTGTTCAAAATAAGATTTTAAATTTTCAACTTCAAAAGTACATCCGAGTTTCTTAGCCATGGTGATGTTGGCTGGACAGCCGTCGAAAGTCATCGAGGTTACTTGAATACCTGTATCTTCTAGTAATTCTAAACATTGTATGACAAGATTCGACCGCTGTTCCCCTGTAACACCATCAACGAGAAAATACCCAACTGGTATTTTCCAAGCCCCATTAATTGCGGTAACTAAAAACACAAGAACTTCTTTGGCTTCAGGTAAACAATCCCCTTGTTCTGCTGAATTCGATATATCTACATACCCGTGCATTTGTTTTCCGTCCCATTCCACACGCTGTTTGATTGCCATTTCGTCTATAACTAAATTACACAACAGTTTGTGTTTAGTGCAGGCAGTTTTAAGTTTTATTGCTTTTAATGATTCTTGCGTGAATCCAGGCTGAGCATTGATAGAATGGTACCACTTTTTTATTGTTCGAACATGGGGAAGAGCGGTTTGGAATTTTTTCCTTACATACGCGTAAGCCTTTGGCGAGTAAAAGTGAAGAGTAGTTGCAAAAATTCTTAAACCAGGAGAATACTTCTGGTTAGTGCCTTGCCCCGATGAAACATTTCTCTCATAGCGCTGAATAAGGTCGGTCACGCCAATGTTTTCTAACTGCGTAATGTGATCAGCGTTAATGTAGTTTTTTTCATTGAGGCTTTTCAAAATTTCTTTTAATTTTGCGATTTTTTTCTGATACCGGCTGGTTTTCTTTTGAAGCCTTTTAATTTGTAGTTTTTGCTTTTTTATGAAATTCTCTTGTACGGAAATCAATTGGCGTAATTTACGCTTTCGAGGAGTTTCGATGAGATCGTTTTTTCGCGGATTTTCTTGATGCTCCAAAATGCTATTTTGTCGAGCGTTCAAGTTGGTGTCGACACCATCTATTATAGACATTGGAACAGTATTTTCCGAATCGTCATTTTACTCACAAGCGAGGTTTTGTAATTCCCTTCCGATTGGAGGTTTTGAAGCAACAGTCTGTAATTAAAAAATAATATTACACGTTTACATAATGTCTCATAGTACCTACAGTTATAAAAACTTACTTCGTTTTATATTTATATCAAGAAATAAAACTCACACAAACTTTGGATAAGGAAGGTTCCACATAATTTGTCAACACCATACGCAACTTCAATGTTGGGACCGACCATTCGAAGAGCCGACGAACTTTCTTTAATGGTTGAAAACACTTTGGTTCAAAGTGACACGAGCATTTTGTGTTATTTTTTGTTGGAAACCAGTTTGGACCCCTTCCTGTTGCATTTATCCATTTTTCTTTTATTTTTGGATCCTTCGAATAGCTGAAATTTTATAATAAAAGCAAGATATTAGTAATGATGATAAATGAATCCTGCATGAATACACACGGCTACACATCAAGCTATAAAAATCCAGTTTACGCTGACCTCGCATTGTACAGAAATCCTATGAAATGCGATTTCAGCTTATACTGGAGATACAATAAAGTAAAAACCAACACTTTATCTACACTTTTATACACTTATCAGCTATTTAACGCCCAGTTTCTGAAGTTCCTATATTCCCATTAGTTATTGATTCAATAAAAGATAACTCGAGTAGATAAAGAAATATCATTTATTCAGTCAATATTAAGCAATAAAATTTACCTACTTTCTATGTTCAGTATGGCTTGCCATAAGGGTTGTTATTTGTCTCTATGTTAATATTTGTTGGTTGTAAATCTTTTACTTTACTAGTAAATGCATATTTTAATAGTAAAGAATATTGATTTTACTTATCTCCATTAGCGACTGTCGGCGCCGTTACGACAGCACCGACGGTGTTTGCGGGGAGTATGTGAAGTGAGGGGGGTTTCTCACCACCACGCCTAAGACCGGACTTGCCGATAGCTCGCGACCCGATCGCCACCAAATATTTTGTATTTTTTATTCCCTTTAAATATACAATTTGCCTATCGTGTGAGTCGCCTATTTTACCTCTTCGTGTCCCCCTATTCCTAACTGAACATAGTGGCGACCGTGATAAATTAAAATATCGAATTCCGATTTCGCCGCGTAATACGGTCCAAAGGTCGTAGCACTTACCCCGCGTTTACAACGTCGCGAACGCAAGTACTACGAGCTACGAGAACAAAGGAAGCCACGCCGATCTACTACATCAGCTAAGAAGATTATTAAATTGGCGTACCATCCCGAGTCCTAAGAACAACAAAGCGGTCAAGAAGAATTCATCTGGAGCGGAGAGAAGACAAGAGGACAGCTATTGAGAACCGGCCAAGCTGAGGTCCAGCGGAGTCTACGAACCACATCAGCGGTTTTTGCCAACTAAAAGTGAGCCCGTTCCTATTATTTTACCTCTTCGTGTTCCACTATTCCTAAAAATTCTATTTGTGTGAACAGGGAAACAAGGAATCTAGTCCTATTTTTGTTGCCTTACCCTACCTACCTATTCTTAAGCAACATCCTTTATATTCCTTGTCTATCTTATACCCTTTCGTACATAAAACTGCTAATCTAAATAAACTATTCCTACTCAATAATCCTACCAAATAAAATACCTATTAAAACAATCCTAAAAGAATTACCTAGATAAACCTACCGACAATTTACATACCTAACGAGTTAAAATCACCTATTTACACCTATTTGCTTACCTATCAGCTAATTGTCTATCATTTCTTACTATTATTTAGCCGTATCATTTGCTAGGTAATCAGTGCTATTTTTCAAGCCGCCTATAATTTGCATTCATTGCGCCTATTTTACGACTTGAAAGTCTTCACTAGCATTTAATTAGTTGGTAGCCACTGTTAAATAGTTAGAATTTAAATAGCTGAACCTATTTCTTTAAACGTAAGCATACATATGTACATAGCTACGCAAAAATTTGAGCTTAACTCCTCAATGCAAGTAAATTCACTTCTCGCTATTCACTGTTAGCTGTTTATGCACGCAAATAAATTAGTCATCACTATAGCATAATCATTCGCTAAGCCCTATATTACGCTAATTAAACCATTATTTGCACAAATCAATTAAATTTACGATCAACCTTGCTTCCCGTTATTATTTTATGTACGGAGATATCTGCAAAGCATTCCAACAATCAATTTCAGCTACGGTGCAGCGGTCGCTCGAGACTATCATCGCATCCCGTGTCACTGCCAGCACTGCGAGCTCACGTCGTGGTACTGGACCGCGGGCGTCGCGCGTCATCAATCCCACCTTTCACCGCGCTTCTGCTGATTTCAACCGGTTTCCGTCACAGCGGCCACGAAGCGAGGAACGTATTGTATGCAATTCTTATTTATTTGATTAGTACAGCGCATAACTAGTTGTTTTGATTGTCTGCGCGTTAACTTTGCTAGTATGGAGGCAAAGTACAAAACTCTTAATTTAAAACGCGCTTCAATTAGAGGCCGTGTTACGAAATTTAATAACCATTTAGAAGAATTAAAAGGTAAAAAGCTTACTCCTACGGAAGTTAGCGTGCTATCGCAGCGATTAGTTAAACTTAAGACTTTATTTGGCGAATTCGATAGCGTGCAAAATCAGATTGAAGCATTGGAGGAAAATAATTTAAGCTTAGAATTGGATACCAGAGAAGTTATCGAACAAGCTTTCCACAATTCGTTCGCATTGGCTCAGGAAATTATTTCCGTAAGCAGTACGACAAAAAAGTCGTCGCTTCAGCATAGCAGTATTTACACAGCTGATGAAGATGATCACGAAGTTATCGGCTTTCGTTTACCAGTCATTAAAATTAATAAGTTTGATGGTACGTTCAACAAATGGTTGGAATTTCGTGATACGTTCAGTTCTCTGATACATAATAATACAAAAATAAAAAATATACACAAATTTCATTATTTAAATTCCTATCTAGAAGGTGAAGCTGCTCGTGTAATATGTAATTTAGAAGTTTGCGACAATAATTATCCTGAGGCATGGAGTCTTCTTTGTGAGCGTTTTAATAATATTCGTCAATTAATAAATAATCATTTGAAGTCTTTGTTTAATATTGAGCCGTTGCGTGAGTCTGACAAGTCATTAAGATTTCTAGTAGACCACGTCACAAAAAACCTACGTGCTTTAAATACTTTAAAACAGCCAACTGATCATTGGGATACCCTGATCATATTCATAGTCTCAGCGAAATTAGACAGCAACACGCGTGTTAAATGGGAGGAGTACATTCAAGCTAATGTTAATGCTTCGGATATGCCTAGCCTAGATGATTTCATGACTTTTATTAAGGGCCGCGCTGAAGTTTTAGAGTCTGTTTATCGCAGTAAACAAAACAAAAATATAAAATCAAACCCGAATCACAATCAAGGCGTCAAACAAAATCCCGTTTCTCATACTAAGTCATTCGTTAGCGCTGAGCAGGGCGACTCATCAGCAACTGCCCCTCACAAGTGTATTTTCTGTGGTCAAGGTCATCGTAATTATGAGTGCTCACAATTTCAATCGAAATCTATTGATGATAGACTTTCATTAGTGTCCGAGCTAAAGTTGTGTCCCAACTGTTTGCGCAAAGGGCATAATACGCGCGCATGCAAGCTTCCAGGTACGTGCAAGATATGCAAAAAACGTCACAATACCTTTTTACACAAACCTACGGATTCTGATACCAATGTGGCAGTCACTAATGTTGCAGTCTCTGAGCCAATTTCAATGTCAGCTGTTTCTGCTTCTGAGACACTACTATGTACGGCTTTGGTTGATATTTTTAATCCCAAAACAATCAATTACATTACCACTAAAGCTCTCTTAGACAACGGCAGTCAGTCTAGCTTTATTACAGAATCACTTAAATCAAAGTTAAATTTAACTTCTTCCACGTCTGATGTTAGGAATGTGGTCGGCATATGTAACACTATTGTCAAGCTTAATGCTGAACGTTGCAATGTTCGAATTCATTCAAAGGTAGGTTCTTTCAGCGTTATGACGTCATGTTTAGTCATACCCCAAATATCAGGTAAGATACCTAAGTCTCTTGTGTCTATTACACACCTTAACCTGAAGTCCTTTGCATTAGTAGACCCCAGCCTTTATGAGCCGTCTGACATAGGACTGCTCATCGGTGCTGACCTATTTTGGTCCATTATTGGAACCAAACAGCACTCTTTAGGCAAAGGAAATCCTATTCTACATGAGTCTAAATTAGGATGGCTTATCGCAGGTCCCATGCACTATATTCAAAACGACAATCTCAATTTAAATTCCCCAGTGAAATGTAATTTTGTAAGTATTGAAAGCAACAATACTTTAGTTGAGCTTCACAATGATTTGAAGAGGTTTTGGGAGCTTGAAAGCTTGCCACAAAGGCCCCTTCTTACAGACCAAGAGAAAGCTTGCGAACAACATTTTTTACAGCACACAAAACGCACTGAAGAAGGTCGTTTTTGTGTCAAGCTGCCATTGATCGACAAACCAGACTGCCTAGGCACTTCCTATTTCATAGCCAGGCGGCGATTTATAAACCTGGAACGTCGCTTTCGCAAGCAACCGGAACTTAAGTCCGCCTATGTTGATTTCATTGAGGAGTATCGCAAACTAGGACATCTAGCAATATCTGAGGTAGACCGACCTGAGCTTGCCTATTTTGTTCCGCATCATCCTGTCATTCGTGAAGACAGTGAGTCAACACGTCTACGCGTCGTTTTTGACGCATCAGCTCGCACTTCATCTGGTTTGTCTATAAACGACATTCAAATGATAGGCCCTACAGTTCAAGACTCTCTTTTCAATATCCTCAGCCGGTTCCGGCAATATCGTTATGTGTTGTCAGCGGATATTGAAAAAATGTACCGGCAGGTTTTAATAGATGAGTCTGACCGAAACCTACAGCTGATTTTATGGCGTGATGCGGAGGACAAACCATTACAAACACTCAGGCTTAACACGGTCACCTACGGATTTGCTAGCGCTAGTTTCCTTGCCACCAGGTGTCTCTGGCAAGTGGGCGAGGAGTGTGACGATGACGTTATTAAGGCAGTCATACAGGAGGACATATATGTTGATGACTTACTAACTTCTAGCGATGATGAAGATCAATTACGGTCTATACAGAAATCAACACATGTGGCTCTTTCTATGGCTGGTTTTGACTTGCGTAAGTACCGATCCAACTTACCTTCTTTACTGCCTTCAGACGTTGTCCAGTCATCCGGCAACCTGACATTGAGTCAGTCTACAAATACGCTGGGCCTAGATTGGAGTCCTTCGACCGACAGCATTAATTTTCCCATTACAGTGGATCAGTCTGACGTCGTCACCAAGCGCACTATACTTTCTTCAACTTTCAAGATCTTCGATCCCTTGGGCCTCCTATCCTTGTCCACTATCGTTCCCAAAATTTTAATTCAGACCTTATGGTCTCTCAAATTGGACTGGGATGAGCCCGCTCCAAAGGATATTGTCGATGTCTGGAGACCTTTTGTTGATGGACTTAAATGCCTTTTTTCACTAAATATACCTAGATGAGTATCAATAGAATATCCAGTCTCTGCTGAAATCCACTGTTTTTGCGATGCATCGCAACGCGCCTATGGTGCATGCTTGTACCTTCGCTCTACAAATAAAGAAGGACAAATAAATGTCCAACTTTTATGTGCGAAATCTCGCGTTGCCCCAGCATCCAGCCCTATTACAATTCCTCGTTTGGAGCTTTC